ATTTTCAGACCTGCAAAAGAAATACTGAGAGTTGATGAATCCCGCTCGAGCGCAAGAATGGCCGCTCGAGTGGAGGAGTCAAAATCTAAGCAATAAAAGTTTGGAAAAACAAGCAACCAACAAGTTCTAAACGCACAACTACAATCCGATAACCAAAATAAAGGAGAGACAAGGGGAACAAGACATGAATAACCATTCTAAATCATACTAACCCGAGTCTGGAATACGATAGATAACGGGTCAAAGCCGGAATTGCTTACTTTAATATATAGATAATAATAGATTTGGAAAAATTGTCACTCACAATAATAATTATAATTTAATTTATCAAGAAAAAATAAAGTGATAATTTCAAAACATGTATGCTTTCTATTATAGAAATTATAGTGAGATTATTGCTCATTAGAAATTGATGATTATAATTAAAGAAAACTAGAACACTTACCATATTGATTAACAAAATATTTAAATTAAATGAAAATAAGATAATAATAAATAAGAAAGAACTAATAATATAACTAAAGAGTTCATAATATTATAATATAATATTATTAAAGTTTATCATTTCATAAATTATTTTTTAAAAAGCATTATGACTTGAGGGAATATTACCTTATTGATCAATAAATGATATAATTTTGATAGTTTGAAACACAAAAAAGTTTGAGCTGATTTTCATATAAAATGTTTCATAAGAGTTAAGTGTAAATGTTTAAATATATTAGCATATGGGTCATGCTTAAGTGTGCAACCCCCTTAAGGTTGCACACCATATGCAACCCAATTGTTAGCCGTTAGATTACAGTCCGTCCCAGGTGGATGGGTCGGGCTGGTCCAAGCTCTTCAAGTTCCGGTTCAGGGTGATGATTCCGCCAAATGACCTGCAAGCAAGTCCAAAGGGGAACGGAGCAGTCCCCCAGTGAACCCTCCGGCGAGAGAATTAGTAGTCGAAGAAAGGAATGTAGAGAGAGAGAGAGAGAGATAAAAGCCTAACCTTCCTCTTGTCCTCTATTCTTGCTTATATCCTTTGGTAATCATTTCACTGCCCCTTGTGACGTGCCCCCTTCCGCCGAAAGCTTGTGCCATAGCTTACCTTATTCAGGTGAGGGGGCTCTGTTCCGACGGGGAGGTGTTGTCGTAATAAATGCTGTGACGGGCTGCATTAATGGTGATGTGTTGTGGTAATAACTCTGCAGATCTTTGTCTGCTGATGTGGCTTGTGTTCCACCTGCCATGTGCCCGAATGCCATCGGCCCTCCATGTCTAGATGGCCTCCAGCTGTTCTGGGATTTGTCAACCGGGTTATGCTATTGGTCCCAAGCGATGGGTTTGGGGTGGTTTGTTGTGGGCCGTATGCCTTGTGGGCCCATCCATGTCAATTAATAATTAAAATCATAAATTTTTTAACACCCACTAAGATGTAATTATTAATATTATTATTTTTGGTAACTAATGTTAGCGAAAAATGTATAGGAACTCTAAATTGGGAGCTAACTCTAAGTGTGTGGCCCTACACTAATGGTGATGTTTTGGCTTGTTTTGTTTTATTTTATTTTATTTTTATTCCCTACGACATAGTTAGAGTTCAATTAGAACTTTAAAATTAAGAAATGTATCATTATTGTAACGTTAACTTTCACTTTACAGTAGGGATCTTTGGTAATAGGCTTTTTGGATTTTGTGGACTAAAATAATATTAAAGATAAAATAGATTAAAATAGTCAATAAGATAAAATATCACATTAAATTCATAATCATTTTATTTTTTCTCTCATAAATATCACATCTAACTATAAAAAAATTAAACATCTTCTTAAATAATTAAAAATTAAAATAATCTATTTTAATAGCCAACTTCTCAAGAATTTGGGGTGCCTGCTGTGCATCCAGCACAGCAAGCACTATTGTGTGGCCTTATGAGTTTATTTCGGAATTCGTTTTGATAATCTGAACCGTTCACATTTTAGAATATATCGAGTAGAACATACCTGTAAAAAATTATGTGAATCGAATATCGTTAACTCTTTTATCTACTCATATTTGTATCTTCAAAAATAAATGACACTGTGATTTAAAGTATTAAAATGAATGCAACTATGAGTAGATGAAATAGTTAACGATATCCGATTAACTTAATTTTTACAAATATATTTTACTCTATATATTCTAAAATATGAACGGTTTAAATTATAAAAAAAGACTCCAAAATAAGCCCATAAAACTGCACAATGATATCAACTGTGCTGAGTGCACAGCAGGTACCATCACTTTCCAAATATCTCCCCATCCCTCTATACTTTTGGAGATATATATATATATATATATATATATGTAGAGAGGAGAGAGAGAGAGAGAGAGAGAGAGAGAGAGAGAGAGAGAGAGAGAGAGTATCTCGGCACCTATTGCTAGCAATGGATTGAGGTTCATGATAGGCTTAGACCATCTCCAACCCTAAACCAAACCTGACATCAAATTTAAAATTTGGTGAAAAAATCACTTTTTCATGCTCTAACGATTTCACCAAATTGATATCAAATTGAGATTTCACCAAATGTTTCACCAAAATGAGGACAGGCTCCGCATTTCACCAAAATACTGTGCATGACCGTTGGGGAGACCAACCGGTCGACCAGCCGGTTGACCAAGTGTTGGAGCCAGTGGTATCAAATTGAAGAAAGGATCAAACAGTTAAAAAAAAAAAAAAAAAAATTCGCCTTACCGGTCAACCGGCCGGTCGACCACTAAACGGTTCAAACAATTCATCAAAAAAATTGGTTCAAACAGTTCAAAAAAAAAAAAAAATTTCCTCTTACTGGTCGACCAGCCGGTCGACCAACCGGTTGTCTCCGGAACAGATTTGATAAAAAGTGAAGCGTTGGTGTTAGTGGTATCAAATTGAGGAAAGCATCCTTTTTTTTTTTATCAGATTTGATGAAAAAAAGAAGTTCATGCTCTTAGGGGCTAGGAAATAGATTTATTGGACAGTTGGGAACAATTATTATGTTTTGATCGTTTCAGATTAATAATAAGTAGCATGAGATTATAATGTTCTATCTTTTGAAGAAAAAAAAAATTATTCTTATGAAAAAAATATTTCATCAAAATAATGTGATAATATTATTTTTATAATTAATTATGATTTAATAAACACTTTATTTAGTGAATTTATATGGTGTAATAATATAAATTCAAATTTAATATAATTTAAATATTATTCAAAATGAATAATGTGATTTACATTCTTTATATGTTAATAACTTTTTAAATAACTTTTTTGAGTTTTTAAAATTGTCAGTACAATCTTTCTTGTTCCATTTTTCTAATCTCTTTTGTCACATGATCAAATTTAAAAAGATTCATCTTTTAATCAATAGTAACTTAAAAGTCATATTTTATCATGCCTTTGAGAAATCAAGACTCGATATAATAAGAACTTGTAAATTCTTTTAATAAGCTTGAGCTGAGGGTTACGTGATCTAATAATTAAGTTGTTTCAGATATTTGTGGCATCGGTAGCTTAAATGAGTGTCGTAGATATTTTTGCAAACCTACTGTATTAATGCCCCCCAAAAGTGGAGAAAGTACTTTAGGTAATGGATAGATTACCATCAAGTTAATACCGTGTATTTTTGTTTATTATTCATAAAGTGTTTGACTAATAAATCATATATTTTGGACTTATAATTTATATAATTTTATATTTTTTTATGATTTATTTAGTTTTTTTTTATTTTATTTTTATTTTTTTATGTATAATAGCTCATTTACTCGTCATATTGGAATGTCATATTTGAAAAAATATATTAAAAATTTTTTTAGTATCACATCAAATCCGTCATATTAGAGTATCACATTTGAGAAAAATATTAAATAGTTTTTAATTTTTTAAAGTATCACATCATACTCCTTACGTTGGAGTGTCACATGTCATGTTTGGAAAAAGTATACTATGAAATTTTTAATTTTTTTTAAAATGTCACATCATACCCACTAGTTGTCACGTTTGAGAAAAATACATTAATAAGTTTTTATTTTTTTTGAAGTTTTACATCATACCCATCACGTTATCACATTAGGGAAAAGTACACTAAATATATTTTTTTTGAGTAAAACTTTTGGAGTCTCACATCATATCCTCCACTTTATCACATTTAGGAAAAGTATACCAATGAATTTTTAATTTTTTTAGAATATCACATCATTAACGTGTCATATTTAGAAAAAGTACACTAGGAAATTTTTAATTTTTTTAGAGTGTCACATTAATATATGTTACGTTAGAATATTACATCATACTTGTCACATTAATAAAAGGATATACCTGCCCACCAAAATACTACCAAAATCAAAAATAGGATCACAAGAAAAGAAACTCTCTACTAATAGATCTTAACATATTAATAAAAAAAATTGAGATTAATTAAAATACTTATTTATGAGATGAAATTTATTAATAAATATCCCTTATTTAGAAAAATGAAATCAGAGTTTGATATAATTAAACACCAAACGCTTCAGGCATGCATAAAGTAGCTTTTCAGGTCTTACATTTACTACCTAATAAATAGTGAGTGAAAGTATATATATTAATTTAAATCAGCTACGTGATTTACCAGTTACTTAAACTACCTTGTCCAAAAGAATGATTTCTTAAGAACATTCATAATGGGATAGTTAAAATTATTTGTTAAAGTGTGTTATATGATAAAAAGTGATAAAAGTGGGATTCAAAAATATGTATTAAGGTGTGTTAAGAGTTTGTTAATTTTAAAGAGTGAATGGTGGTGCAATGGATGTGCTAAGATGCGTGTTAAGAGGTGTGTTAAGAATATATATATCTATATAATAAGGCACAAAGGTTTTTGAAAATATGTTAGAGACAATTGTTCTACTAGGACATTTCAATGGTTATGATTCATTTTGTCTATTTAGATGGATGGTTGAGATGACTCCCTTAAATATATATCAATATATATCTACACTTACTTTCCGCCCAAAGAGTGAGCTTTCTACTTGCCCACGTCTCCCCTCTATTCTATCTTTACCTCTCTTCTCACCTTCTCGCTTGCCCACGTCTCCCTCCCTTCTATCCTTATCCCTCTCCCTTCTCTGTCCTTACCCACCTATCTCTCTCCCCCTCCCGTTCTTCTTCTTCCATACCCAGTGTGCCTATCTCTCTCTCTCTCCCCTCCGTTCTTCTTCTTCCATACCCAGTCTCTTTTTGGGGGTTTTGAGAAAGAAAACCTAGAATAATAAATTGACAGAGATTGTTGTATCTTTAAGATCACTCTGGTATCTGTTTTTTTTTATTTTTATTATTTATTATTTTTTTTATTTTTTACAAATTTCAATTATATACATATATATACATATATGTATGTAATTGTATCTCTGTGTATATTGACATATTTATGTTCTGGATCTTATTTTCTGTTTCAGGCTTGCTTCGTTGTGGCAAGAGTTGTAGAAAATTTGAAACATGATTGGTTCAAAGCATGGAGCATGATTGGTTTTTTTTTTTTTTTTTTTTTACAAATTTCAATTATATACATATATGTATGTACGTGTCGAACCTCAACTCTCCAACAATCTCGACTTCCATCTGGTACCATTACTTTCTTTTCGTTGTTTGTTCGCCGGGAAAATGAGGGAAAACTTTAAAGCAAACTCCTACCTTGAGCTTTTTATATATTTGTTTTAGGGTTTAATTTGGTGCTTTTTTGTTTTTGGGTGGAGGGTGATCTCAGGAATAAGGAGGATTTGGAGAAGTTATTTTCTCAGACGAAGTATGTGAATTTGATACAATGTGATTGTGGATTTCATACACAGTGGTCCGCAATTTGTCTAAATTAACAATGTGATTGTGATATGTAGAATAGTGATTTTCGAATTTAAGATCGTCACAATTTGTGTTATGTATTTTGATTTTTTAGGGTTAATTACACAAATAATTATACTTTGTGATATGTTACACTTTGGTCCCAGTCTTTTAATTGTTCCATTTTGGTCCCCAAATATTCAAAACCAGTAAGGGGAGGGGGAAATTTTCATAATTTTACACAAAAAATTGCAACAAAAATAAAAGATTAGGGATGAAAAATGAAAGAAAGTTTATATTTTGGATTAAAATGAAACAAAACGCATATTTTAATAATTAAAATAAAATACTACAAAATGTATATTTTAATAAGAAGGTGTGTGTCTTTTGTCCATTTGATTTTTTTTTTAGTTTTTGTTCTTGCAATTCAGCTGATTAGAAATCAAAAGATGCCTTTTACATTACTAGCAGTGTTTGTAGTGTGGGAATCTTAACAGAGAAGTTTCCCTAGCAATCATTTACCTTTCAAAATAAGGAAAAGAATGTGTTGTGGGAATCGTATTTGAATGCTTAACAATGAAGTTACCAAGTGTCTGGACCTTTCAATGCAAGCATTGATTCATTGCATTAGATATCTTCACACTTACTCCACTATTGACAAAAGTTTTGTGTGGGCTTGTAGTTGGTTTTCTCTTCGTCCTCGACAGTCTATGGCCAACCTGAAAAAATTCCATGTGTTGAGGATTTTGAGTTAATACCTATGAACCCTTATGGGCGGACCAAGGTATATGCTACAATATCCTAAAATATGTCCCCTTTCTACTCACATTCTATGTTTTATGCTCCAAGTCTGTTGGACCATTAGAGAAGGAATGGTGTACTTAGTTTAGAAAGGTGCAATTTCTTAATTTCCCCCCTCTAACCTACGTTTTGTTCCGTTTAATTAGCTTTTCCTCGAAGAAATTGCTCAAGATATCCAGAGTTCAGATCCTGAATGGAGAGTGATTTTTCTGAGGTACTTTAACCCTGTTCGGGCTCATGAGAGTGGCAAAATTGGTGAAGATCCAAAAGGCATCCCAAACAATCGTTTGCCTTACATACAACAAGTAGCTGTTCGAAGATTGCCTGAACTAAATGTTTATGGCCGCGATTATCCCACACCTAATGGTACTGCGGTATGCAGATTCCATTAATGTTACTCTTTTTTAAATTTAAAATAAATAAATAAATTTGCAAAGAACAGAGAAGTTAAGATAATCTGTATTATGCTTGAGAGGCTAATTTAATCATTTGAAGATGGCTATTAATTCTGCAGAAGAAGCCGTGGCTGTGCCTTTCCTGTGGTGATTGCAGCACATCCATCTCAACCTAATCAAATCGCGCTTGGAATGAGCAATGGTGCAGTCTATGTAATCGAGCCATTTGATGCTGAGCAAAACTGGGGTCGAATAGTGCCTCTATAAAATGGAGGTTTTCCCCTTCATCCCTTAGAATTCTGCTTTGAATAGTCAGCCATCTGAAACCCCGTGCTAGGGATATTTGCTGTCTGTAAATTTATATATCCAATACTGTTATAGGTTTTTTTTTTTTTTTTTTTCGGGACAATTCTAAGTTCTACACATTGTTGAATCATGTGAACTCCTCGAGGTATGATCAAATGATTGTGAGTCAAATAAGATAAAAGGGTTATAAGTTTTCCGGGACAGGAGATCATTTTTGAAGCATAGAAGAGTCTTTTTTGTGAACAAGGGAATTTGGAAGTTATGGTTGTTAATTTAGTCTCTGCCATTGTGTGATCTTTTTATGTTTTAGTGTAAGCAACAATGTTATGAAGATGCAGAGGGTCAATGGCCATGTTGGCTATATTCAAATGGAACATGAATAATATGATGGCTGAAATTTGGTTTTCAAACTAAATTTTATTTTTTGAATCTTTTATTTGTCTTTTATAAATTTTTTTCATGTTTTAAATTTTTTATTAGGTGCACTTCATTCATATCTTTCCAATGTCAAACATTGTAAGAAATTTACTCCCTACTCTTTGAAAAGAAAAAAAAAATTACATTGTGCCTTTAGGCACGGGCATACGCTAGTATATATATAAACAATAAATAACATAAAATAGTTGAAAAGTACAGTGGACCCCACCCCATTGCACTGTCAGTCCCGTCTCTCTCCCTCTCTCCCCTCCCTTGTTAACTTGCTCGCCGCAGTTAACACAAACATTAGCATCTGACACAATTTTTGGCCACCTCCATCCCTCTTAACAGCTCGATTGTAGGAGCAAAAAGCAATTTGACTAGCCTAATAAATAACACCTGACACTAGTGGAAGGGTTAACCCTTCCATTGCAGATGCCCTAAACCAATGATGCAATAAGTAATAATAAGCTAGCAACATATGAATGCGTAGCTTCAAGCCTAAAATCAACATAGGTTCCCTACAAAAGATCTTGTTAATCATATTATTTAATTTTGATGATATTTGAAATATTATTTGCCAAAATATAGATTTTTTAATATACATATTATTTGACACAAAATATTATCTGTTTAAAATATATATTGTATGATGCATTTGTTAAATATTATTTAAATGGAAATATTTTGAAAACTTTACTATATAAAGTATGATACATTTGTTAAATATTATTTAAATGGAAATGTGGGGACATAATTTTTGAATGGCAACACGTGGCCGAGGTGGCACCAAAGTGTCAGCCGAGGTGCCACGTGTCCTGATCATGACGCCGAGGTAATCTCGGCTACGCCGAGGTTATCTGCGAAGATACCGAAATTCAGGATAAGCGGATAAGGGGCAAGAGTCCTAGAATGAGAGAAGACTTCAGTTTGGATAAATACAAGACTCTTAGAGAGTTTATCCCAATTCTACTGGGAGTCCAAGATTAGCAGTAATCTAGAGTCCATTGAAGCTAGGTTTCTATTGAGACTAGGTTTGTATTGGTTATAAAAGGGAGGCACGCTCATGGGTCTAAGGTACGTTTTTTATATTTTGAATAGTGAGTTAAGCATTTTTGCTATCTTTGAGAGATAACTGACTTGATCGTCGGAGTACTCCCGGGTGGACGAACCATCGCCAGAATCTCTTCTTTTTGTGACAGGTCATTTGAGCTTAATCTATTCAACCGATGCTCTCCAGCTAAGTACTAATTTGGCAGTGTGGTCAGAAATCTACTCACACAATTTGGTGCCGTCTGTGGGAAAGAAAGGAGAATAGATGGCCAATAACGGACAGAAAGAGAAGGTTAGGGACGACATTCCTACTGGGAGTGGGAAACCTATTGACCTTGATATCGAAGAAGACAACTACAACAAAGAGACTCGTGATAAGAATCACAGAGAAAAGGACGTTGGCTAGGAGGGCGACACGTCAAAGAAATCAAACAGAAGCGGGTATTATAACGAGGACGACCTCCAGGTATAGAAAGAAAGATGCTTGAGGAGGGACGACGAGATGAAGGGAATGACAAACAAATTGGCGGACCTGCAAACGGTCGTCAACTTCATGATGCAGAACAATGTCATGCAGCTACCATTCCCGTTACAAGATACGCCGATTCTAGCGGCCAAGAATGATGCCCGAAAAGATAGGTAGAAAACAGTCCCTATAGTCCTCTTAGCACACCAGGACCGAGAAACACTCTTACCGGCCTTCAAGGGAGGTCGGGCGAGGAGAGTCAAGAAGGGGAGATTCTCGGAGGACACACCATACCGAAGAAGCTGACCCCAAAGAACATCGGCATGTTCAAGGGTAGGAGTTGTGTTTTGACGCAGCCAACGGAGAAAGGACCAAGAGGACTCATAATGAGACTTGGAGTAGTGCTCCAAAAAGGCTGAAATCCGTCGATAGCCGAGCTCCTGGACAGACCAAGGAGGATCTGAGGGATTACCTCCAGAGAAAGTAACAAGATGCTGAGGTAACTTCCCCGGTCAAGCCGAGAATGCCGTTCTCAGTAGAATTGGACAAATTCAAAGCCCTAAAGAGGTTTAGCATTGCGAGATTCCAGATATATGACGGTAAGTCAGATCCCAACTTTCACGTCGGTTTGTACCTGAACTCGATGGCATTATGCACTGGGAACGAGTCGTTGCTTTGCAAGGTGTTCCCTTCATCCTTTGGGAAAATTGTATCAGACTGGTTTCACAAGTTGTCGAAAGGAGCTGTGAAAACCTGGGAAGGCCTGGCCGAGATGTTTGTGGCCAAGTTCGTGACAAACAAGCTACAACGATTGAGGGTGGACGCCCTGATGGCCCTAAAAATTGGCGAGGACGAAAGCCATAGGGCCTATGCCAAAAGGTATTATGAGGTATTCAACCGAATACCAGGATGTAACCAGGAGATAGCGGTTGTGTCGTTTAAGAACGGCCTGAAAGTTGACTGCCTGCTTCGAAAATCACTGGCAAAGACATTGCCAAAAAGCATGGAAGAGCTTATGGCCAGGATAGAAAAATATGCCAGGGCCAAGGAGGACACGCTGGGGACAAAGTCGTCAAAACAAGAGAAAAAAACGGCTCGCTGAAGTGAGGCCGAGGTGACGGTGGATACAACAAGCAGGAGACAAGATTAAGGGCTGCACAGGCAGTCACAACCGTATTCCGAATACTGGTCTACAAAGTCTTGGAGAAAATTCGAAATCAGCACTATTACAGAGCACCAGCAAGGGTACCAAGCGGATTTATGGGTAGAAGCCTTGGCAAGCACTGTGCTTACCACAATGAAGCTGGACATTTGACTCAGGGGTGTAGAGCCCTAAAAGCACATCTGGAAGACCTGGTAAGACAGGGCCACTTAAGGGACCTAATAGACGAAGCCAGGACAAGGGAAGAGCAGACAAGACTGCCCCAAGCACCGGCAGCACCGCCACCCCCAGCACCGCAACCGCAGGTAGGCGGACCTCGAGTGATCAATGTGATTCACTCGAAGGTCAATAAGAATGAAATTCGTGGGGAGACTCAGAAGGTAAAACACCTGCAACATGTGTATCAGGTCAGGCAGAAGAGACCTAGGGTAGATGAGTGCCAAGGACCAGTGGTGTCCTTTATTGAGGAAGATCGAGAGATGGTGCAACATCCACACAACGATGCCTTGGTAATATCCGTCCAGATTGGATAGTGCCAAATGAAGTGCATCTTAGTCGACTAGGGTAGCTCTTGTGACATCATGTATATCAGGTGTTACAAGGAGCTTGGCCTTTACCAAGATGATCTGGAGCAGTCCAATGGCCCAATGGTTGGGTTCAATGGAACGCCTGCGTGGCCCTTAGGAGCAGCAAGTTTGGAGGTGCAGGCTGGTACCAAGAAGATAAAAACAAAGTTCACCATAATCGACACCCTCTCCCTTTATAGTGTTATCTTGGGAAGGCCATGGCTACATGCAATGGGGGTTGTTCCTTCAACATTGCATCAGCTATTACGGTTCCCAACAGAGCATGGGATAATGGAGGTCAGAGGGGATCAGGTACAGGCACAGAATTGCTCCATGGCAACAATGAAATCTACCTGCAACATACGAAAAGCAGAAACAACAGAGATAGAGGACGAGAACGTGCAAGTCCTAGAGGACATCAGCAAAGAACCAACCGAGAAGAGTGAAGAAGCCCTGAAGAAAATCCTTGTCCAGCAAAGAGATGAAGAACGCTTCTTCCTTCTCAGCTCGGGCTTCGCCGATGAAGAGGAATGAGAGCTAGAGACATTTCTAAGAGCAAATCTGGAGGTGTTTGCATGGACACCATATGAGATGCCTGGCATTGACCCCGAGGTCACTTGCCATAGACTAAATGTGGACAGGTCGGCCAAACTTGTCATCCAGCGAGCAAGGAGGCCGACATTAATGCATGTTGAGGCAGTAGAAGAGGAAGTATATAGACTTATGGAGGCCAGAGCCATTCGAGAGGTGAATTACCCGACATGGTTATCAAACACAGTGGTTGTGAAGAAAAAGAATGGTAAGTGAAGGGTCTGCGTGGACTTCACCTGCCTGAACAAGGCTTGCCCCAAAGATAGTTTCTCATTACCCAAGATTGACCAATTGATAGATGCCACTTCAAGGCATGGAAGGATGAGCTTCCTGGATGCCTACAGAGGGTACCATCAGATAGCTATATACCCTTAAGATGAAGAAAAGACTGCAGTTATCACCTCAAAAGGGCTGTATTGCTACAGAGTGATGCCTTTTAGATTGAAAAATGCAGGAGCAACCTACCAGGGATTGGTGACTAAGATGTTCAGACATCTAATTGGCAAAACTGTGGAAGTATACATAGATGACATGGTCGTGAAGACCAAAGAACCTAAGGGTCATCTGGAAGACTTAAAGGCAGTTTTTGACATCCTTAGAACATATCGGCTCCGACTCAATGCATCGAAGTGTGTATTTGGAGTTGGGTCTGGTAAATTCTTAGAATATTTGGTTACCAGAAGGGACATTGAGGCAAGCCCAGATCAGATCAAGGCCATCTTAGAACTGAAGAGCCCAACGTCAGCAAAACAAGTACAGATGTTGACTAGAAGGGCAGTAGCCCTGAATAGATTCATAAGCAGGAGCTCTAATAAATGTAAGCCTTTTTTCAGCTTAGTGAAGAAAGCCATAGACTTCTTATGGACCGAAGAGTGCGAAGCTGCCTTGGCCGACTTGAAGAAGTATTTGACCACAACTTCAGTTCTCTCAAATCCAGTACCTGGAGAGGAGCTGTTCTTATACTTGGCAATTTCAGAGCACACAGTGAGTGTAGTAGTAGTTAGAGAAGAAAATGGAGAGCAAAGGGCAGTTTACTACGTGAGTAAAATCCTGGCAGATGTAGACACCAAATACCTACCCTTGGAGAAGTTAACACTGGCTTTAGTAATGGCTTCTAAGAAGTTGAATCATTACTTTCAAGCCCACAGAATTGTGGTGTTAATTGAACATCCTT